GACTAAAGTGCTGGACTGCAAAGCCTGTTTGAACTGCAAGGTCGGTGGTTCAAGCTCACTGGCTGCTCGTCGGAAACCCTATACAAGGTCACTATGGATTGGACTGACTCGATGACACTTAACAATGATATGCAAATGTTTCAATTAGCACTCAATAATATTTGATGGTCCACTGTGTACTAAGCTTTATGCAAGAGAGACACAGTCCTACTATCAGTGGCTTGACAGAGATCTCATAGTCCATAAAACTGGGAAACATGCATGCATACATTAGTGCACCACACTAGGACTCTAGTACAAAGTATACATAAAATTTATTAATGAAACTCTGTTCCACATCTTTTAGAAGTCATGGCATGGTGCTATAGGATAATCACTCAACTGCAAGGCCAGTTAAAACTGTAAGATCAGTAGTTCAAACACACCAGCTGCTCCTCAGAAACCCTTTCAGGGTCACTATGAGTCGGAACTGATCCACAGCACTTAACAACAACAGCATAATATGGAAGGAGTCCTAGTGTGGTGCTGTAGGGTAAGTATTGGACTAACTGCAAGATAAGCAGTTCAACCTTCCCAAATACTCCCCGGAAACCCTACATAGAGTCTCTATGGCAGACCTACTCCACTGTATTTAAAAATGACAATCACAAAACTGTGTAAGGAACCCTGATGTGGCACTGTAGGATAAGCACTGGACCTGCAACCTCAGAAATCAGCTGCTCTCAGAATCCCTATACAGGCTGTCTCTGAGTCAGAATCAACTCAACAACACACAGTACAACACAGCACAACACAACAGTATGTAAAACACAACATTGCTTGTGATACAGTGCTTAAGTGCTTGACTGCCAAGCAAAAGTCAGTGGTTCAAACCCACTAGTGATTCTACAGGAGGAAGATGAGGCAGTCTGCTTCTGTAAACATCCACTGCCTTGGAAACCCTATAGGGCAGTAAACTCTCTCTTACCGTTAGAATTGGCTAAATGGCAAAGGGTTTAACAGGTGCAAAATTTTAATAAAAATTTTTTTGAGATGAAATCTGTATTGTCATCATAACCTAACAAGTAGTTTAAGAATAGTAACTCAATTTCATTTAACATGAATGAATTTTATATAGACTCTCCATAAGGTGAATGTTCTTCAAAATATTGTGTATATTCTTCTACCAAATTGGAACATTTCATTATTATTAAAGTACATTTCATTATTATTGAAGTGGTGCAGGGCTGGATAGGGTTTCATTGTGTTGTACAAAGGGTCACTATGAGTTGAAAACAATTTGATGGTACGTAACAATAATAACAAAGAAAGAAACAGGCACATTGATTTGCTGTTAGTGGAAATAAATGACTTTCAATCTTACTTAAAATTCAGTTTGGATATATATATTGAGCTCTGGTAGCGTAGTGGTTACGAATCGGGCTGCGAACCGCAAGGTCAGCAGTTCGAAACTACCAGCTGTTCTGCAGGAGAAAGATGAGGC